ATTTGCAATTTAATATATATAAATACATATATATTTTTTTACAGCCTTAGAACTTTTCAAACCACCCTCCATGTAACGCTTTTCATTATGCAACATTCAAGTGTTTCTATATATGCATATATATTATATTTCATACTTTCTTAGCATACAGTCTGTTGATATGATATGCTATACAACTTTTCTGACCACCCTCGTCATTTATTAGACTTCATCAGTTAGAGAATTCTGTATTTAATAATATATATTTTGTATAAAGTTAAATGTCAGCTATGCTTGACAACTTTTCAAACCACCCTCTAACTATCTCAAATTCGCATCATTATCGTCATTCGAGACTTTTAAATATATGCATATATATTTTATTATTTCTATAATTTAATGAATTCATAGGCTTGACAACTTGTCTAGCTGCCCTCGCACTACACTAGCTTCTAAAGCTTTCACAGTTTTGCAATGCTATTCAAACATATATATCTTCTTTTTTTTTTTGTTGGATATAGACAATTGCTGAGCAAATGCTTCACAACTTTTCAAACCAACCTCTAGCCCTTAGCCCTATTTTCTACCCAAACCTTTCACAATTCAACATATATGTACACATATATGCAACATTATATATATTTTTTGTTTTTTAATTAATTAATAATTTGTTTGGTGTGATTTTGCAAAGATCTTAAATCTTAATACAATTATATATTATGATCTATAATATAATATCATTATTATTACTATGATTATGATTATGATTATGATTATTATTACTATGATTATTACTGTTTACAGTTTTTAAGTTAAGTTTTATTTTTATTTGTTAAACATTGAGTTACATTTACCTGCAAACCTAGCTAAACTAAGCCTAACAAATAAACAAAAAACAAGAAAAACGAGAAAAACCCCAAAAAGAAAAACAACAACTGAAAATCTAAGAAAAATCAAATAAAATTTTATACAAAAAAAAAAAGGAAAAAAAAAAAAACACGAAAATTTCATTTGAAAATTCTATTTTTTATGCAATTAAAATTTAAGACGTTTTATTTATTTTTTAAACGTGAAAAAGCAAAAACAAAAAGCAAAGCAAAAGAGAAAGCAAAACAGAGAGAGAGAGAGATGAAAATGATAATAAAAATGCTTACAAAAATAATTTCAAAATTTTTATTTTTGTTTATGTTTTCTGTTTTTACCTAAACTGATCTAAATATAAAATAATCTATATATATAAAGATATATATAATGCAAGGATCTCAAGAGTAAATACCGAACCTAACCCTAACGACAGGCCGCATAACATTTGATAGATAAACGCGTTTATCTCATATGTTTACCTAGCTAACAATTTATAGAGATAATTCTAGAGCGAGTTGCACCCAGCGTTTAGTCCAGACAAACTTCCAACAATCGAATCCTAAAACACCCACTAATACGACGATTTATCCTAACCTTAAACAAATAAAGCCTTTTGCACTGCTAAGAAACCACCTAGAGAGACAAGAAGGGGAGAAGGAGAGAAAACAGAAAAACCTAAAATACATTGTAGAACATTTGTATCGTGGCAAATAAAGAAAAAGTTGAGTCAAAGTTTTGAGCTTCGGTTGTTTTGTAAAGTTACACAGATATTATATACGATAACGATAACGATAAACTATAGTAGTGTATTTCGATTAACTCCACAAACTAAGCAATTGCTACATAT